ATAATTGGGTTTTTTTTATAAAAGAGCTTGTGAGTGAAGAGGGGGAGGTATTTTTGATTACACGACCAGCCAAATAGCCTGATTTTCCAACAGTCAGAGGTGTTTCCTGCTTTGTACCCTTTATTATTGTATGTATGTGACAAGTCCATCATTGCAGTATCTGGACTCTGAACCACCCTACTGATATTAATTCCTTTTGTGGGAAATGTGCCAAGTACAATGAAAGTTATTAAATGAACAAATTTCAGTACTTAATTCTCTTTATGAAAATATTTACTAATGGGTTCTTTCATTTTCTATAAAAACAAACAAACATTCTACATTAAAACAAAAAAATCTAGCTAAAGTAATTTATTTAAGCAACCTTATCCAACAAAATCAGCCATAGAAAACAATGGTCTGACATTAGCTAACTAAGATAGTTGTGAGTTTCATTTATGAGTCTCCCCAATCCCTCTACTGCAGGTTCTTACTATTATTGTTTTAATGTAACTTCTCTCCACACCCTTGCTTTTAATACCTGTAGACTACAAGGCCTGCCTAAGAATATTTTGTGGTTAATTTCATACCCTTGCAACTCTAAGCCTACACTGAGCTAAGAGCCTTCTGGAACTACATCTGGTGTTGAAATTAACCAAAAAAAGAGAGAAGTGAGAGGGAACTACAGTTAGAATCCTCTAACATGGCACAGAAAAGGCTAGAGTGGCATGCTTTGTCATATTTAAAACAAATTAGACCCACAAAGGCATTACTTGTAGTTGTACTTTTACCCACAAAAGCTTATGCCCAAATAAATCTGTTAGTTTTTAAGGTGCCACCAGACTCCTCCTCGTTTTTGTGGATACAGACTAACACGGCTACCCTTCTATTACTAGTAGCGTAAATGCCAACAGAAAAGCATGGGCTAAGTCTCTCGGCTCCCTATTTTATATATAGACAGATGATACAATTATACCCCCTTCACATGCCAAATGCCACATTTAAGAGAAACAGTTTTAGAACCTGATTCAGAAGTCAATTTAGAGGTCCCATTTCAAAATATTTTTGAGAAGTAAATATTAATGGCCACTAAGGTAAAGTTACCAGCAACTCAGAAAACTAAAGATTTTTCATTTATCCCCAAATCAAAATAAAATAAAAATTCAAAAACAAATAACTCCAACTAGAGTAGGCCAAGCAAAGTAGGAATAAGGTATTTTACTCATGACCAAGTCTATTTAAAGGAATTTTGTTTGTTCAAAATAAACACCCACAGTATCTTTTAAAAAGGCGATCTCAGCTATACGCAGGTACTTCGCGCACTAGCTGAATTTCTGGGAGCTTCCAAAGAACACTTCCCTTTTAACATTCAGACATGCAGTAGGCTATTTTCTGATAATTTAAGACAACTCCTGCACATAATTATACTTCATACCCCAAAACCTACATTTAAGAAATACACTGGTTGTGACAGAAAAAAGATTAAAAGCAAGAAAGTCCACAGCTAAGGGAGAAGAGTCCTGGAGCATTTGCTCCAATATCCAGGCAGTCTGCTCGTACCCATGTCTCGCTGCTCAGGTACAAGGTAAATGGGAGGGAAGCGGGCAGACTGGCTGGGAAGCCGGGTACCAAGTGAGGGTTGTGTTGCTGGTTACAGCTGTAGGTTGTATTTGTAGTTCCAGGAGATCTCGAGGTGTCCATTTCCCGGGGGTTGTGTTTGCTGAACCAGGTGGGACAAGCGCAGCTCGGCAGAGTAAAGTCACCTTTACCCGCGGGCCGGGCCGGGCCTGGGAGCGGGAGCTGCCCCCACAGCTCCGGGACACGGGGGGCAGCGGCCGGGGGGACGGGGCACCCCGTAACCCGGCCCCGCTGCTCCCCACACAGCCCTGGGCAGCGGAGCCGCCCCCGCCCCGCCACGCCTCCCTCCCTGCCGCGCAGCGCCGCGCACGGCTCGGCCCCGGCCCCCGAGCTCGGCCCCGGGTCCCCGCGGCGCGTCCCCGCCGCCCCCGCCAGCTGCGCGGCGCGCGGCTCCCACCTGAGGGGCGCGGAGCGGGACGGAGCCGCCCGGCCCCGCGCGCCGACTAGGCCGCGCCCCCGCTACTTACTCTCG